TATATAATTTATATGTATAAATTTTCAAAATATTACATTCTGAATTTATTTTTTACATAAACTAAATCCAACTCTTTTATGATAATATAAAACCATTTATCATTAACATCTATTATTATATTTTACTAGCAAATATTTTGAGCATTAATCACAAGGAGTAGTTTAATTCAAATAAAAATATAAGTCAAATATATATACAGGGAAAAATAAATATTAAAATAAATTAAAAATAATTAATTGATATACTATAGTCAAGTATTTAATATTAAAAACATAAAAAAAAATACAATTAAAGATGAGATTTAAATTTTAAAACCTAAAATTAAAGGAAAATTTTAAATAAAAATAATGATAACATAAAGGAAAATTTTTAAAATAATTAATAATTAACAATTTTAAAAGATCCTAAAAGATTTCTGTTTTCAAGTAATTAAATGAAGAAAAGGATTAAGAATTTTTTTTTTAATATTCAGCTTAACCTATATCCTTCTGCTGATAATATCAAAAAAATTTGTTTACAATTTAATTAAAATTTATAAGTTTAAATTTTGAATTATTGTGTTAAATTAATAATCACATGTAGTAATGTGGGTTGACTTGCACTCACACCACTTTAAACCCGCTCCACTTGTAATCTACCTTAAGCAATGTGGGACAGGTTAGTCCGCCAACAAAAATGAGTTAAAGAAAGTAATCAACCTACTTTAGTATGAGTTAGCTCACTAAGGGAGATAAAGTTGGTCGATGAATTATAAATATCCTAGATTGGTGGATTAAAATTATGGATTGACCGATTGATCTACTTTCAACTAGAGTTGTCAAAGAGGGTTCTAGTTCGTTGACTAAGTCGACCCACCTTGAAGACAGGTTGGGCTAGGGTAGAAAAATTAAGAAATTCATAATTGGTCATAAAACTCAATCTGACTCACTTTTGATCTAATCCACTTTTGTTTAACTGTGGTGGGTCGAATTGCCAACCTAATACATTTACACCCCCATTAGTCCAACCCACCAAGGCTTCAATTAATTATTTATTGTTATATATGTATTATTTTAATAAGATATTATTTTTTGTAGATAAAGATAAAGTTAATGTTAAACAACATAAAATTGGTATATATTTGTTTACTTGAACCTCCAATGAAGTTTGATATTGATAGATAATCATTATAATGACAATAATTTTCATTTTATAATTTTAATTATTTAAAGTTGTACACTTTTTAATTAAATTTAATGTTGTATGTATGATGTTTAGTTTGACAATTTTTATTTTAGGTTGAAGGTTATTTTATTTTAGATTGGAGTTTATTTTAAATTAGAGTTTATTTTTTTAAAATCAATGGGTTAATGGGAGACACGTTTAACCCACCAACCCTATGGGTAGAGTTCGTTGGAAAAGTTTGTACATTTAAAAAGGTGGATTGTGTCTAACTAATTAGAAAGTGAGTTCAAGTGGTTTGGGTTAAACAAGTCATACTAACTCATTTTGACAATCTTGCTTTCAACTAGACTTATTAAAGTAGATAGTCTGACCTAACTCATCATGGTTGGTGGGTTAAATGATTTGCCTCACTTAAATTAAATATATATACATATATATATATATAATAAAAACTATTGAACTTTATAAAAAAATATTATAATTTTATATTTTAGAATTATAATTATGTTAACAAATAGGACAAATAAAAATGTCAAAAATAGATATCATCCACAACTAACTTATGAAATCAAAGATTCTATAAAATATTGATAAATAATATCAAATTAATATTAATTATCATAATTCATAACTAGTATGTATTATGGGTCAACTTGACTCAAACTCATGATAGGTCGAGTTATCTCATGAGTTTTAGCTTATTTTGACAACTCTATATTCAATCCATCTAAATAAAAACATGTTAAAACATATATTTTATTTCATATACATGAAAAATGTGCTTGTTAAAAATATGTGATTTTAAAATAATAAAATTATATTCCATATTAAAGGGAAATAAGTATATGAAAAGATAAGCTAATTAAGCTATGAAATTCCTTTAAAAAAACTATGAAATAAATATACTAATCTAATATAAATATAGTACAAGCATGTTGGCGGGTTAGACATGTCTGATTGGTGAAGTGGATTGGGCGGACTTATTTATCTATCTCACTATACACAAAAAAGTAGGTTGGCAACCACATTATCATCCTTCGTCAACCTAGTACCAAGAGGTAATCATGATATACATAACATGTCAGATTCATACCTTGTTGTCACCTTTTTAATTCCTACCAATGAAAAATAAAAAGTTGTAATTAATTTGCATATCTATTATCATTTTTTTTATAATGATTACACTAATTTTGAAAAGAACCCATGCATATTACCCCAATTCATCATTAATTTTCATAATTTACTCCTTAAATTTTAATGATTTTTATATAAATAATTCATTTTATTTCTTTCTATCCGTTTATAAGTATTACCATTTAATTTTTTTCTGGATAATTTTAAACCATATATCGTTAACACAAGGACATTTATTATCATATTTTACTAGAAAATATCTTGAGCATTAATCACAAGGATATTATGCAATTCAAATAAAAATATATGAATTAGATTAAGAAGAAAAGAATAAAATCTAAAAGAAAATTGAAACTAATAATTTATATATTGAATTTAATTAATAACCAATATAAAAACAATTTTTGGTGAAAATAATTTTTAAATTAATTAATGAGATTTTAAATTTAATTCCTAAAATAAAAGGAACTTTTAAAATGATAAAAAAAATCTTACCAAAAATGGGATTTTTAAAATTAATTAATGATTTGTATTTTTAAAAATATTAAAAATAATAATATTTTCTTTAAGTAATTAAGATACAATTAACTAAGAAACTATTTTTGTAACATCATGTTTTTCATAAATATATATTTGCAAATGTATCCATGTGAGTTACTTGATGTTATTATATGTTATTTTCTTGATGTGAGGCGTGGATTAGCATTGAGATAACCCTAAACTTGAGTTATAGATGTTATAATTTAATAGTGTGAGAGTTGGTATGGGAAAGACTGAAGTATATAAGGAAGATTTGAAAATAAAACTTCATAAGTTTCAGATTTCATATTTTATAGAGAGAAAGACTTTGGGACTATAAGTTGTTGCTTGAGCTTCTAATTATCCTTGAGGTTGTGGATCTTTCCCAAAGCTAGAAATTGGAGTATCTTGAAGTCAAAGGAAGATTGTGAAGTTGAGATCTTGAGGATCAAATTCGTGGGAGCTTTAGTTGGGAGTTGTTGAAGGAGTTTCTCTTTTACATCAATTTTTCTTTAGTTGGGGATGTTGTGGTGACTCGATCAACCATAGTCGATGTCTAAGCAAGTGTTAGCCCCTAACTTGGTGGGGTTGAGAGGTCACTCAATAAGCGAAACTCGCTTAGTGAATGTTCCTCGTCGTGTGAGTTCTTGCTTAACAAGAAGGGTTCGTTTACCAAAAATCTTTTCTTATTAGATGGTGATCATGGTGATGTTATGTTGTGTTCCTATTTTGCAAGATTGGACTATGTTGTGCATATTCCTATTGGGAATGAGTGGTGAGTTTTAGATAGCTCAGAGGGCTAGGAACGTGAGGATTCTACCTTAGATCATATGAGTTTAAGGGTTGTGAATGTTTTACCTTTTTTTATGTTGATGATGATTAATGTATGTTGTTGTGTGTCTTGTCCTGGGCACATATCTATTGTGGAAGAAAGGCTTGAGTTCCTAATTCATGATGTTGTGGGTGGTTGTTGGGAAAACTTGATCCCCTTCATCCATGTTGTTTTTGAAAAGCCTTTAAAGTGGTGGTTTAAAGGATAATGATGTGTTGTTGAGTTGTTTAATAAGAGATACCAAATGACTGGATCTTCGAGAGCTTAGGACTTTATAGACCAAGTTGTGGACATTTAAAAAAAAACGTTATGTTCTTTAATGGTGTTATAAGTGCAATATAAAGTGGGTCACTTTGTACTTGATGTTAAATGGTCATGTTCGAGTGTATGTTGAATTGGCACGTAAGTTGATGCTTGGTGGTCACTTAGGGTCCACCCGACCCAATGTTGGAAGGGTGAATGGTATCTTAGGGGTAGATAGCAAGTTAAATTCATAAAGGGACTTGTTTTTATAGACTAATGTTGTGGTAGGTTTACACTCAATCTATTTCATTCTCAACCAATGATATTGGACCTTTCAAGTTTATGTTGACTAAGATTGTTACTATCTAGTAGGGTAAGCCAAATAAACCACTCGTTGTAGGAGATCTCTATTGTTATGCATGATAACACACATTGCAAGTTGGCACATAGTTGTGGTGTATTAGAGTTGTTGCATATGATGTGTTGTGATACACTCGTTTGAATGAATAAAAAATTATTAAATATTTTAGTAATATTATTAAATTATTACTTATCCTATAAAATCCTAAGTGCTTAGAGATCATACATAAAAGTTTAGTTATTACTACTTCATATAATTATACATCACATTTATCAAAATTTTATAAACTATTTACAAAAGAATGAGATGTTTATTAGTTTATATTTTTCAATTTCCCTCCTTATTTTACAATATTAGTACAATAATAATTATTATATATTATATAAGGGGTTAACATGACTTGTCGAGGGTAGGGTTAAAGTAATAGTTATAGGTCCATCTAAAAAAATTGAGATATCCTTATTTGGTAGCATAATCATTGATGATTCTTGCCCATGAAAAGTAACGGTATTATTTTGTGTGTCAATTGCCCACTGTATGGCAGGAAAAAAATATATGTACCAACACAGTAAAAGATCCAACTTGAGGTGAATCCATCTATATATCAATTAATATATATATAAGATTTTCTCGTTATAATAAAATTTGAATTATTTTAGTAGTGACTAGTCAAAATAAATAAACATTAATTCAAACTTTATTTTTTATGACCATAAAATAACATTTATCTTTATAATATATGAAATAAATAATAAAAAAATGAGCTTAGAATATTTTAACAAAACTATGTCATAGTTAGTATTAATATAAAAATAATTAAGTTAAATAAGTTTGAATATTTTTAATTATTTAAAATTTAATATAATATAGTTTACAAAAATGAATTATATTAAAGAATATTAATCTAGTAAATGACAGTAATAAAAAAAACTAAAAACACCTAATTAATTAAGAGAAAAAAATATCTTAGATTAAGTAAGTAAATAAGATTAGAAACATCTAATTAAGTAAATATACGTAAATATAACATAAAATAAACATAATAGTATATTAAATTTTAAAAAATAAAAATCTCCTCCTCCTTACTTTAATAAAAAAGTAGAATTACTTCTTACACTATATATATATATATATATATTTACTCTTTTTCTCTAATTCTTTCCCTCTACTTTCACAATCCCTCTTTCATACTTTTTCTTTTTCTCCGCTCACTCTCCTTTCTCCCCCATGGTCCCTCTCCTTAGCCTATTTATAGGCATTTTTTTTTTTAATTCTAACCATTTAGTTAGGCTACCTTATTAGAGATAGGCATTATCTCTCCCCGTACACTTGCAGTAGATAAAGGCTACATTTTTTTTTTGGAAAACATCCTATTAATAATTTTAAATATAATAATCTATATAAAAAAATTTGGTTTTCTAAAATTTTTAATAATACAGTCGAATTTTATATATCTCCATTTATTTTTTTTATAGCATTTAAAAAAATAAATAAAAAAAATAAAACATTGTATTTCTATTTATTATTCAAGTATGGTAAATAAATTTTTAGATTATTAAAAAAAATAAGATAATAAAATTGAAAATATTATAATGTGATATGAAAATTTCAAAATATTACATGTTGAATTGTGGTTGTGCATGATTCGTAGTTGTGATGGTTCACATTAGTCTTAGCAAACATAGTTCCTTAGGCTCTGACTTGTTTTTTTTTGGACTCATGATATTTAAACCTCTATTATACTTTTTTTCCCCTCTAAAATACCTTTAGTATTTTTTTAATTTATCGACTTTATGAACTCCTTTTACCTTCAACATTCATTGTTTTTTCAAACACTCACCCCATTTTCACATGCATCCCATTCCTACCCTTGTTTCCAACATTTAATTTTTTTTTAAACATTCACCCCTTTCACAAACATTTCTTTCCTCTATTTTTTAGAATTTCAAAATGAACTAAAGTTTTATAATTGTATTTTTTCTTCAAAAAAATATAGAATTTTGAGATTCTCACGCACCATTTCTTTTATACATACCTAGTTTCAAATATATTAATTTTAATGTTTTGGAAAAAATTTATCGGAAGAATATTTTCATAATTACGGGAAATATTTTATAAAAGTGTATTTTTTATATTTGAAAAGTAATTTCCAAAATACTAATAAATTAGAAGGAGGATGAAGGAAGGTTATGAGTAAAAAGATAATTTTTAAAATAAGCAATTAATTAGAATAATATTTTAGGATTATTTTTATAAAAAAGGGGATATATTTATAATATGTATGAAGAGTAATATACTTACTCTAAGAGTAAGTCTATTTCACTCAATAACTAGTGTTTTATATCAAATTTTAACGATTCAGCCGTTAAATTAAAATTTCTTAATATATAGATCAAGTTTACAAATTTTTCAAAAAAATTAAAAATTATTTAATGCATAGTTTCATTAATTCAAATGAATAGATAAATCATAAAATATTTTAGATGCTAATTTAAATTTATATAACAAACTATCAAATAATTTTCAATTTTTTTAAAATTATAGGTTTGATTTATACATTAAGAATTTTTAATTCAAATGTTGAATCATTGAAATTTGAGAAGAGGATATATATATATATATATATCATGAGTTAATTATTTATTTGCAAGAATAATTTTTAAAATTGAACGTTTGAAATCTTAAAAAAAGAAAGGAAAGAAGTGCATGTAAAAAGAGTGAGTGCTTGAAAAAAGTTTGAAAATTGGGAGAAGGAACAAGAATGAGATAGTGTGAAAGGAAGTGAGTGTTTGAAAAAAAAATGAATATTAAAAATAAGAGAAGTTTGTAAAGTTGGAAAGTAAAAAAAAAAAATCAAAGATATTTTTTTTAAAATATAATAAAAATATATTATTAATTAATATTTAAACTTATAAAATGTACAAATATACTTATTATATATAATTAAATTTT